GAATCCCTTCCGTCGCAGTCTGTGGGTCAAACCAGTCACAAAGGTTGCCTAAGCTGGGCGCAATGGCACTCACCTGGAATCCAGGCAACTCAGGAGGCTGAGGCAGGAGGATTGCAAGTTTGAGACCAGGCTGGGCATCTTAAGGAGACCCTGCCTCAAAATAGAATTTGAAAAGACTGAGGATGTAGCTCCGGTGGTAGAGTGGCTCTGGGTTAACCCCCAGGACCTCACAAACACAAGAACAGCACAGACTTGAGCTCAGGGTCGCCCAGTGCTGTCGTTTACATCTGGAATTTCCCTCAAAGGCGCATTTATTGACAGCTTGGTCCCCAGCCCAGGGCACGACTGGGGAGGAGAGGTACACCCTTTAAGAGGGGTGGCCTTGGGTCGCTGTGCGGTGCCCTCAGGGACGTGGGAGCCTGGTCTCTTCCTGTCTCCACTTCTTAGTAGCCCCCAGGAGAGCAGCCTGGCTGCCCGCCTGCTCCCACCGCGGGAGGCCAACTGACAGGGACTGGCGCCCCGTCACCAAAATAGACCTTCCCTTTCATAAAGCGAGCACCTCAGGTCTTTATTAATTACTAACGGAGGCTGACACACATCCAGATGCAAGGGCAGGCCACAGAGACCTGTCGTGGCCGGACACATTGTTGAGGCCTGTTTGGGAAACACCGTCCTTGCCTGGTCCTCGGGTGGGATTCGTTTTCTCCCCCAAGATCCTCCTGTGGAGATACTTTGTAAAAAGCTCTGCTTTGTATTGTTCATGGCACAAATAAACTACAGTTATTCCATTGGCTGTTTTTAATTTTTCCTGATTGCAGGAGCAGTGCTACACAGGGCCTTCCTGTGTCCCTTCCTGTGTCCTGTGTCCCCAGGGGGAAGTTTCCCTGAGGTGCATGTTCAAAACAGCCAAGTATTTCCCCTGGGTTTGCTAGGGGGGACAGATGGCCAGTGTGTCTAAGGGCCAGTGAAGGAAGGGAGTGAGGGAGGAGACGCAGCAGTGAGTGATGGGCAGGGGCAGCCACACAGGCCTCGGGGGTCATAGTAAGGGCCTTGGATTTTTTTTTTGTATGTGGAGGTCAGTACTGGGGATTGAAGTCAGAGGAACTCACCAATGAGCCACATCTCAGCCCTTTTTTTGTGTTTTATTTAAAGACAGGTCTGAGTTGCTTAGCACTTCACCTTTGCTGAGGCAGGTTTTGAACTTGAGATCCTCCTGTCTTAGCCTCCCCAGTTGCTGGGATTACAGATGTGTGCCACCATGACCAGCAGGCCTTGGGTTTTATTCAAAGGACAACAGGGAGCCCTGGAAGGTCTTGGAGCTGAGGAATGACGGGTCTGATTTCTGATTCTCCTCTGGTTGCTGAGCAGAAAAGACATTGAGTTAACATGTAAAAGCAGGAAGACTTATTAGGAGGTAGAGGAGCACATGGCCTCTGACCAGCCCTGCCTCAGGGCCTTTGCACTCCTTACCTTTACTATGACCCTGCCTAGAACATTTCTCCCCAAGGTGTAGACATGGAGGGCTTCTTCTTCTTCTTCTTCTTTTTTTTTTTTTTTTTGAGGTGGGTACTAGGGATTGAACTCAGGGGCATTCGACCACTGAGCCACATCCCAGCCCTATTTTTTATTTTATTTAGGGACAGGGTCTCACTGAGTTGCTTAGCATCTCACTTTAGCTGAGGCTGGCTTTGAACTCGAGATCCTCCTGCCACAGCCTCCCAAGCTGCTGGGATGACAGGCACCACCGTGCCCAGTGGTGGGCTCTTTCTCATTATTCACATTTGACTCAAAGTCACTTCTCCTCCTTTGACCTTTGAAGATATAGGAAATGAAGTAGAGCAGCACCCCTGCTCCAAACAGGCTCTGGTCATTGTGGGCAGAACACAGAAGGAAAGGGCTGGTGATGTCATTCAGTGGTAGAGCACTTGCCTAGTGTGTGAGAGGCAGCAGGTTTGATCCCCAACACCACACACACAAATCGACCACAGCTTTCTAATACATTCACAGTGTCACACAGCCACCAGGGCTACAACTTCCAACACTTTTTCATCACCCCAAAGGAAACTCATCACCCCTGAAACAGTCATTCTCCCCCCTAATCCTGGAAAACACATTTCCTTTCCATTTGCCCTCTCTGGACATTTGTATAAACGGAACCATCTACTATGTGACCTAGCATTTCACATCCTTTCATGTGGCATGTGGTCCAGCCTCACCCCGTGTTGTGATGTGAACCAGTACTTGTGGATTTGAGGTTGGATTGTGCTCCCATTGACATGTTACAGCACTAAGCCTCCGGATCTCAGAAATAGGGCCTTTAAAGATGTACTTAAATTAGAATGAAATCATGGAAGTGGACCAGAATCCAACATAGCTGGTGTCCACCTAGGAAGAGGGAATTTGGACATAGACACACAGGGAGAAGGTGGCCATCTACTAGCTAAGAAAAGAAGTCCTGAGAAGAAACCAACCCTGCCAACACTAGATCTTAGACTCCAGCCTCCAGAATGGAGAGAAAATTAATGTCTGTCATCAGGGAGTAAAGAAGGTGGGGAAAGGGAAGGTCCTGGGGAACCTTGCTGACAGATCAGGCAGTTCTGGGAATCGAACCCAGGGCCTCACGTGTGCAGTCCTCTACTGCTGAGCTACACCCTCAGCCCCTAAAATAAGTTTCAGAGTCTAAAGTGAACCTTCCTCGTCCCATGTCCCTCCTCAGCAGGAAGACCCTGCTATTCTTTGCAGTAAGCAATCTAAGTAAACAGTAGCCACACACTTTAATTCCCTTTTTTTCTCCTCTAAAATGTCAGCATAATGGACACCCTGCTAGGAACTTAGTTTTACTTAATTTTGGTGGGTGTACTTCCATGCGGAAACTTAGAGCTTCTTCAGTTTTCTGCAGTCATTCTTTGGTACCTGTGGGGACTTGGTTCCAGGACTCCTGTGGGTACAAAAACCTGGGGACACTCAAGTCTTGTGTATAAAATGTACAGAACCGATGCACACCCTCGCAGAGGCTTCTGTCATCTCTAGGTGACTTATGGTGCTTAATGCCATGTATGTGCTATGCCAATAGTTGTCCCAGCTTGTTTAGGGGATAATGACAAGAAATGAAATCCAGACATATCTAGTAGAGTGCACCCTCCGGGGTTGGCTGAATCCTTGGATGCAGAACCTGTCGCCGTGGAAGTTGGTGTCTCTAGCTGCATAGTATCGTGGGATCATACCTGAGGAATTGGGAAAGCAGGCACGAGCTGGGGTGGCTGAGGGGGTGAGAAGGGGGGGTGTGGGAAGTCGATGGTGGAAAGACGAGCGCACATTATACAGGGCCTGATGGGCCTGGGGGAGGACTTTGACTTGAGTCAGGAGGGAGATGGGAGCCATGGGAGGTTCTGAACCCAGGGAGGTGGAGACCCCACTCAGGTGCTCACTGGCGCCCTCTTTCCGTTGTGAGGGGAATAGACTGGGAGGGGTGATGGCGGGAACTGGGACACAGATGGTGAATGTGCCCATCCAGGTGGGAGGTGATGGGAGCCGCATCCAGGTGAGGGGCCGAGGTAGGAGTGAGAAGCGGGAGGATGCTGGCTGGTTTCTGATACGGACCGTCGTGCTGTGGTGTCAGCCTGGGTTGGGGTGGCACAGGGAGTCCCAAATGTGAAATCAGCCTCTGCCAGGACCGACCTGCAGCTGACTGGATCTACAGGACATGGAAGGACGGATTCGGGGAGAGGAGGGAGGTTGGATCCAGCCGGGCTGAGTGGGGGCCGCCCGCCCTCCTGCAGGTGGTTCACCCGGGAGGCAGGTGTCCTCCGCGCAGCAGCCGCGCAGTCCCGTAAACCGCCGCCAGAGGGCGAGCGCGCCCCATCGCGGTCGCAGCTCCCGGGGTGGGGACTCGGGAACCGCCAGCCCCGCGGCTTCCCACGGCCCGGACGCCTGGAGCTCCGCACCTTGGTGCAAGATGCGCGCCGCCCAGGTGCTAAGACCCGGCCGGGACCTGCAGGCGCCTCGGGATGCCCAAAGCCCGGGACGTGGCTCCCCTCCCGTTCTGTGTTTCCAGCAGGTCAACCTCCACCCCCTACCGAGCTGTTCCCAAGCCTCTGGCGGCATCTCGGGCCTTTGCAAAAGTGTCACCTCTTTGGGGAGGACTTCCCTGACCACCCTGGGACAGACGCCCCCGCCTTGAACCCTCTAAAGCACATTTTGTTTTAATGTCTTTATCCTGAAGCTGAACTCATTTGTCCTTTATTGTCTGTTTGAGACTCTCTGATGTAAAATGTGAGGCAGGAGGGACCCAGTTTCTGTTTAGTCTCTGCGAATCTTCATGGGAAAGAATTATGCCTGGCTTCCAACAGGTACTAAAGGGAAAACAGTAGCCCCAATCATGTTAATTGTCGCCGACTGGGACTGGGGCTGCAGCTCAGGTGTCACGGGTCTGGTTAGTAGCACAGGTCCTGGGATTGCAGCACCCTGGCTCATGATGCTACTGCAAACTGACCTCCGTTTTAAGCTCCTTATCTAAATTGTCTCCTTGAGTCCTTAGAACAAGGCAGGGCCTGTTATCAACACCATAGTACAAAAGAGGAAAGTTGAGGCCCAGAGTGGTTCGGGGACTTGCCTGTGGTTGCACAGCCAGGAAGTTGGCATACTGGGTGGAAACCCAAGAAGCCTGGTTGCAAAGAAAAGTATCCCTGCAGGCTATCAGGCATGGTGTCCCTCAGCTCCTGTCCCTAGACTTGCACCTCGACCCCCTCGACTTGCCTCTTTTGATCCCACAGCCCACACACCCGCAGGCCCAGCCCTCAGCCCGCAGGCTTCGAGGAACCCCGCGGTCTGGTTTACTTTCCTCCCTGCTGTGAGTTTACAGAGGCGCTTCCCAGGCTGCCCAGGTGGGGACAAGTGATTAAAAGCAGGTCTGAGGGTCCAGACTCCACTCACTAGACAGCAGGGTCAACTGCCCAGGACCCTGAGCCCCACCCTGGACTGACAGACGGACAGCTGAGCAGATGTCCCGAGCATGGCTGACCACTCTCCTGGGGCTGCTGAGTGCGGCCTGGCTGCCTGCAGGCTCAGGGAGGCCTGGACCCCCAGCCCCCCGGGGGCCGGCCCTTGCCCTTGGCAGCTGGAAGGCCTTCCTGGGCCTGCAGAAACCCAGGAGGCTGGGGACAGATGGGCTGCAGGATGGGCAGGAGGTGACCACCTCCGTGTCTTTGCCATTGGACCCTAAAGAAGTGACCCAGGAAATGTGTAAGGCTGTGCCCTTCATTCAGGTGAGTGTAGGGGCGGGGGTGGGCCGGTCTCAGCGCCTGCAGGAAGCCCAGGCTGTGGCTCAAGGCAGATCTGAGTTCATGACCCACATCATCCACCTACATGGCTCTGAGTCTCAGTGTTCTCCCGTGTCCATTGGGTACAGGATTGCTGGGCACAGTGGCACACCCCTGTGATCCTGGTAACTGGGGAGGCTGAGGCAGGAGGATCACAAGTTCAAGGCCAGCCTCAGCAATTTAGCAAAGCCCTAAGCAACTTAGTGAGATCTTGTCCCAAAATAAAAGTTAAAGAGGACTGGGAATGTGGCTCAGTGGTTAAGCACCCCTGGGCTCAACCCCCAAATGGGGTACTGGCCTCTCATGTGGGAGGGAGGGTGCCTTCACCTGATCTCCTGTCTTTGGGCCACTCCTCCTCCTGAGTCTGTTTTTCCATTTAGTAGCCGAGGTGCCCATGGACCCTGAGTCAGATCATGTTCCTCCTCCCCTCAGAGGCCCCAGGGCTCCCACCTCACTCAGAACAAGCAGAGCCAAGCACACTCAGTGTTTCTCGAGTGAATGAATGAGTCCTAGAATTATCTGCCTCCTAGGGGCTATCAGGCAGCTTGAATGAGTGGGCGTGGGGAGCAATCTCATATCCAGCTGGTGCTCCATAAGGGCCTTGGGAATACATACAGTGTGCTGAGTTCAAATCCTACTGCTACCAACCCAAGGATTAGGGTTGGTAAAATCAATGATTTCTGTGTGATTCAGGGTAAGTAGCTTGCCTTCTCTGAACCTTTACAGAAGGGAGTCGGGCATAGTGAAGGATGCCAAGTGCTCAAATCCATGCCCAGCCGTCAATATCCCAGACTCCTTGGCTTGTCATTTGCCCAGAAAACCCTGAATCCAGGTGGCAGGAGTTGCTTGGCCCTGGAGCCACCTGCCTTATGCCCAGTCCTGCCTCCGTGGCACCCCAGCCTCAAGGCCACCCTGTCCAGTGGTGCAAGCTTCACGGAGCAGAAGAGACTCTGGCTTGGAATCTGGCTGCCCCAGAGGGACACAGAGGGGCCCTGCGGGCTTGCGCCTTCTGGGCACTGCAGGACCTTGGGCTTGGAGCCTGGGTGTCCTCCTCTGGACACGCGGGGAGGAGTTGGGCATCTACCTACTGGGGCCACAGCCAGGGCAACACGAGGTTCCTGTCTTCAGGTGGCTTAACCTCTGGGAGGAGGGTGACAAACAGAACAGCATCCCAAGATGCACATCTACCAGTCACTTGAGGGCATGCAGGACAGCACTGTCACAAGGGGAGGGAAGTTCCCTGTGGGGTGCATTGGAGGGAGGAGGAGTTGGAGTCAGCTGGGGAAGGGTGGACGGAAGGGTGATCTAGGCAGAGGCCAGAGGGCAGAGGGCAGGGAGGGGACAGGGCAGAGTGTGCAGGGACTGTTGGGCCTTGGGGAGGACTTTGCATTTCATTCTAAGGAAGATGAGAAGCCTCTTGTGCTGGGGGAGGGGTGCAGGGTTGAAGCAGAAGATGGCCAGGATTTAGTGGTGAGATGATAGGGGGTCATAGGAGGAACTAACGTTTATTGAGCACCAACTGTGTGTCAGGAAACACACTAATTTTTTTCTGTTTAATCCTCCTGGCCTCCTTTTATTTTTTTTGGGGGGGTGGGGGCTACTGGAAATTTAACCCAGGGCAATTTATCACTGAGCTGCACCCCCCGCCCTTTTTGTTTTATATTTTGAGGCAGGGTCTTACTGAGTTGCTGAGGCTGACCTCAAACTTGCCATCCTCCTGCCTCAGCCTCCGAGCTGCTGGGATCACAGGCGTGCACCTCCATGCCTAGTTGGCCTCTTTTATTACTACCTCCTCCCACTGTCCCTCATCCTTGGGGTGGTAGCAGCCCTGCTGGTGACTGTCTCCAGTTGTTCTTGTCATTGTCTCCTGATTGGTTAAGCTGCTCTATTCCCTGAATGAATCCTCTCTGTTGAAAGACCTAGAGTGGTTTCTTCTTTTCCTAGTTGAACTCCACTGATTTTACAGTTGAGGAAACAGAGGCCCAGAGAGGTTGAGTAAGTTGCCCTAGGCCAAACAGCCAGGAGATGGCAGAGCCAGGACTGGAACCCAGGCAGCTTTGCTGCATCACCCATACCTCTGAGGGTGGGTGGAAGTGGATGAGCCTCACCCGCTGCTGCCCTAACCTGTCACCCTGCCTCTGGTCTCAGGTGCTCTCCCGGCCTGGCTGCACTGCTGTCCGTGTCCGAAATCACCTCTGCTTCGGCCGCTGCTCCTCCCTCTACATCCCGGGCTCAGACCCCACCCCGCTTGTCCTCTGCAACAGCTGCGAGCCCACTCGCCAGCGCTGGACACCCGTGGTCCTGTGGTGTCGGCCGGGCAGCCCAGCCTCCTCCCCTCGGCGGCTGAAGGTGTCCACCAGGCTGGTGGAGGGCTGTCGGTGTGGACCAAAGCTATGACGCAGCACTGCGACAGACGCACAGAGACACGAATCTCGGAGAGATGGGACGACGACACGGACCTAGATGATGGATTCTGGGTCATGAGACCAGGGAGTCAGGGCCACAGACGGCTCTCCAAAGTCACCCTGCTCCCGAGGACACTAGGCACAGCCCCACTCACGGGGCTGGACCACTCCTAGCCACAGCACGCACTTACTGACTGCCCACTGTTTGCTGGGCTCTTTGACAAGTGCTCACTCATGTCCTCCTCAGGAGGTGATCCTCAGAGGCCTACGGAGGCAGGGTCAACTTCATGCCATTTTACAGATTAGGAAACTGAGGCCCTGACTTTGCAAGGCACGCACCCAGCGTCACCGTGCAGTCAGTGGCCAAGCCCGCATTCACATATTTTTTTTTGTCTTTTGTGGTCCTGGGGATTGAAACCAGGTTGTTGAGACAGGGTCTCACCAAGTTGCTGAGGCTGGCCTTGAACGTGCAATCCTCAGGCCTCAGTCGCCGGGATTCCAGGCCCCACGGCGTCCAGCACGAATCTGATCTTAACCACTGGGCTCAGCTGCCTCTCAGGGAAGGAGCCCAGCACCCGCGCTGCGGGAGGACAGGCGGCCCCACCCCACCAGGAGACACAGCTATGATCCTGGCCTGGGGACGCCAACGCCCAGCAGGCAGGCAGGCAGCTGCGGGGAACCTGGGTCCCGGGCCAGGGGCAGGCCCCACTCCCAGCTGCCTCTCACCTTGACCGTGGCCTTGGCTCCCTTGTGAAGCCCACCCGAGGCCCACCCACACAGCCACGGCCAGCGGGGCGCTGCGCGGGGCCATAAAGGTCGGCCAGGTCCAGCTGCGTGTGCTTGTTTCTCCACCTGGGGCTCCCGGGACAGGGTGCGGGTATCGGGGTGCTCCCTCTCCAGCTGGGGCCCGGGGTCTACTGCGGGTGAGGGCAGCCTGGCTTTGGGCGGCTGGAACCAGGGCCCTGGCAGATGGGCCTGTCTGGCAGAGAGGCAGGGACATGTGGCACTGTCAGTGTTGCCTCCAAATGCCCCCCGGAGCGCAGGCGGGGGAGCCGCCGGGTCCCCCTCAGCCCTCTTCCTGCCTCAGGAAGGAAGGCCCCAGGTGAGGGAGCAGGCGGCGAGGAAACAGATGGGCCCGCGGGCGTGGGAGCCTGCGACCTCTGACCCCCAGGCCTGCACCAGGGGGTGGGAAAGGGCCAGGCAGGCGGCTCTCAAGACCCCACTCGCAGGCCAGCAGGGAGCCTCACTGGGCCCTGGGGCGGGAGTGCCCCTCCCCCTCCCTCTAGAGATTGGTGCCAACCCCTGGGCCTGTCCAAGTGGGCAGCTCAGTCCTAGCTCCCCCTTGCTGGCGGGCAAGAGGCTTCACCCCCTCAGCTGTGCCCACCCCCTGCCAGCCAGGAGAGCCAGCTGGGGACCTTGGTGCCAGGGGGCCCCCAGAGTCCCTGTCCCCTCCCGGGCAGTGCCAGCCAGCCCCCACCCCGCCCCCCAGGCCCAGTAATGGGTGGGTAATGAGTGCTAGGGGAGCGGGGGAGGGGTGGGGATGCAGGTGCCACAGGCGCTGGCACAGGGGCCGCTAATCAGGTTTGCCAACGCCATCTGTCACCGCGCGAGCATCTGGGGCTCAAGGTGACCCTGTCACCCTCAGTTACAATTATGAGTTTGGCATCTGTATTAAAGCCCGCCAGCCGGCCAGGCAGGGGAGGGCTGGGGTGGGTGTGGGGGTACATGGTGAGCCTCATCCCTGGGGTCCCATTCCCAGGGGCTGCGTGGCTGCCAAGGCACGGGCTTCTCTGCTTGAAGGAGTGTGTGTGAGCGTGCACATGTGTATATGCCACACACCCATCCCAGCCTCCTCCACTATTCTTCCAATGTGTCTGGGTGCAGGGCTGAGAGTCGTGGGGTTCTGTGTCTCTGGGTGGTGGTGGCTGTGTCTTGGAGTTTGGTGGGACGGCTGGGGCGCAGCCCTGACAGCGCGTGGGTGTGCAGGTGAGCACGTCTCAGTGCTGGGAGAGCAGCTGATGTGCGGTTCTCGGTCTCGGGTGACGTTTGTGTCAGGGTGTGTATGTGTGTGTGTGGTGCATCTGCCTGTCACGAGCTAGGCATCTGAGGGTGTGGCTGTGTGTGCAGGAGCCTTTCTAGTGGTGTGTTCGTCTTTGTGTGTGAGAGAGAACACACAGGGGGGAGGCTGGGCGGGCCGTGGGGCAGCAGGGGCATGAGCTCACTGCTGGGTTCCTCTCCTGCCCTCCAGCCTGTTCCCACCGTCACCAGTCCCTGCGCCTGGCTCTAAGCCAGAGGATTCAGAAGAGGGCTCAGGGCTCTGAATTTTGTAGCCTGGTCTTTGGATTCTAGGTTCTTGGTTCTTGGAGCTGGATTCTAATTCTGAGTATTATAATGTGCATTTCTGGATTCTGGTTCTAGAGGATGGATTCTTGATTTGGATTATGGATCTGGATTTTAGATTCTGGGTTCTCCATTCTTAGATTTTTTTGGGGGGTGGGGGAAAGTACCAGGGATTGAACTCAGGGGTCCTCGACACTGACAGGGCCACATCCCAGCCCTTTTATGTCTTTTATTTAGAGACAGGGTCTCACTGAGTTGCTTAGAGCCTCACTGTTGCTGAGGCTGGCTTTGAACTCGTGATCCTCCTGCCTCAGCCTCCCTCAGTGACCATGAGCAGCTGCGTTCTTGTATCTTGATTTTTTATCTTGGTATTGTTGGAATCTAGATCTTTCTTTCCTCTGTTTGTCTGTCTGTCTCTCTCTACCCTCCTTGGTGCTGGGGACAGAACCCAGGAGTTGGTACATGCTAGGCAAACAGTACCACTGACCTACACCCCCAAGCCCAGAATCTAGATGTTTATTCTGCATTCTGAGGTCTGGATACGGTTTCTGAATTCCGAGTCTGGGTTCTCACTGTTGGACTCTGGCCTTCCAGCCTAGGCCTGTCTTCCCCCAGGACTGTGCAACTGGGCAGCCCATCATCTCCCTAAGGATGAGTGCAGAGACTACATGTAGCCACCAGGGGTCGCCCTTGGTCCAGATTTGTGACTGGCAGCCCTAGCCCCAGCCGAGTTAGGGAACTTCCCTGGCCTGGCTTGACCCATTCCTTTGAGACTGGGTTGTGCTTCAGCCTTCCTAGTCTCCACTGGGGACTGGCCTCTGTCAGCTTTGCCTGGGTCAAATGTGGAGAACTGAACTCAGCATTTCCAAAGTTCCCCCAAATTGTCCCCAGGATAGGTCACCCACCCAAGTAGTGGGTCTGGTATGCAGTGGAAGGTGCATGCATGAGTGTGTCAGTGAGTGTCCAGGTTAAGGTGAGGGTGGAGTGTATGTCTGGGTGCCCAATGGTCCAGGGTAGAGAGCCTGTGTAATGGTGTATGGCTAAGTCTGACAGAGACCACATGTGTGACAAAGTCCTCATGTGACAGAGCCACAGTGAGGTGTCACTCTGGTGTGGGGAGCCTAGTCTTTGTCATATGAATGTGTCTGTGTCCTTGACTGTGTTATGCGTCATCTGAATGGATCCATATTGTGACTGTGACCACACGTATGAAGCACCACTGTGTTTCCCGTGAGGCTGTGAGTCCCTGGGTGAAGGCGCCCTGGAGTGTCAGGAGCAGTGTCCCCGGTAGCTGTGTCACTGTGGATGATGCCTGGGTAGTGGGACACAGGTGTGTGTTCTGAGAGGGTTGACCCAGAGCCCGCAGAGAGGACTGGATGGATGGGACCGGAGCCCTCCACCTCTCCGCCTCTCAGTGCCTGTGACAGTCCTTGTCTGGGGTCCCGTCCTCTGCCTTGCTCAGCACTGGGCACAGTGGGCTCAGGGGTCTTGGAGAAGGGTCTTGTCCCCATGGTTTCCCAGCCCCACTCTTCTGTCTGGCTGGGGCTCTCCTCCTCTCCCCTCCCATCTCTGCTTCTTCCTGGTCTGCCACCTCTGTCCCTCTTCTCTTTCCCCTCCCAAGTCCTGCTTGTCCCTCTCCATCCCCGATGGTCCTCGCGGTCCCAACCCTAACAGTTCCTTGGGTTTCCATTTCTCCCACCTTTCCTCTCTCTCCACCTCATCTCGTCGTTTACCTCTGTCTCTCCATGTCTCTCTCACCTCTGATGTCCCCCTGCCTCTGCCGGCCCCGGGTGGGTCCGGGTGGGTCCGGGACAGCCCGGCCCGGGCGCCGCGGTGAACAATGCCCCATTCACGCGGCCTGCCGGCGCCATGGCAACGCGCCCGCCCCGCCCTCCCCGCGCGCGGGCCGCGCGTGCCAAGAGGATGCCATGGTTACGTCAGGCGCGTGCCCGCCGCCGCCCCACATGCCCTTGCAGGGGCCGGGCCAGCAGGGGGCGCCCGACCGCAGCTTCTGCCCAGTGTCAGGAGGGAGCCTTCACGAAGCCGGCAAAGGCTCCTGCCTCAGTTTCCCCAGCTGTAAAACCTCAGGGGTGGGCAGAGTGAAAGCAGTGTGTATGCGTGTGTGTGTGTGAGAGAGAGAGAGGAGACAGTGGGGGGAGAGGTACTCACACTTTGAGGGCAGCTGTGTATTGGAATTGTGTATTGGTGCAAATTTGTGCGTCCACGATTACAAGCTTGTGGGCGTTGTATGAGAAGCAGTTGAGGAGTTGGTTGTAGCTTGGGAGTGACCGTGCCCGTGTGTCTGGGATTGTGTGTATGTGTGTGTGTGTGTGTGTGTGTGTATGCTTGTGTGCCTATGTATGATGACGTGTGTCTGTATAATCTGGGTGCAATGGTGTGTATTTTGGGGTCTGTGGTCTTGTGACAGAGTGTTTGCATACCCCCATGTCTGCATATCTGGTGTGTGTGTGAGTGTGGGTGTGTGGTTTGGGTGTGGTTGTGAGTTCACATGATTGTGTGCATGCCTGTGTTTGCATGCTTGGTGTGTATGCTAAATGGCTATGTATCGATGATGTGATTGTGAGTTTGTGTGAATGTTGTTTGTGTGTCTGGGGGTAGGTGTTCACAAACATGTGTGCTTATGTGTGTGGG